ATATTTTTAAATAAAAAATTGATAATTTACATTATTATTTAAAAATTAACAAAATTAATATTTTTATATAAAAAAATATAAAGTTGATATCTTTATTTACACTTTTTTTTTCAAAATTTTACTTCAAAAGTAGCTTCTTAAGCTTCAAGTTTAAAAATGACATCTACTTTTCTAGAAAAGTAGGTCATTTTTAAAATAATGGATTTTGACTCGACTTTAACTTACAATATATAGATATATTAAAATTTTATTTATATATAAAATTTATATGTCACACTTATATAAAATTTTAATTATTTGTTTATTTACTTTTAATTATTGAAATTTATTCGTATTTATTAAAGATAATTATTTTTAACTAAAAAATAGAGTTATTTTTAAGAAAAATAAATAAATAAAATTTTATATAAATATAATATAAAAAATTTATATGCAAGTAAATCTCTTATAGTATACATATATTTTCCCTTTCATAATTAAACCAATCCAACAATAAATAACAAGACTTTGAGGAATACCTTCAAGTCCACCAACTAAATTTCTAAATATAAAAAAACTTCCTCACTTATTAATGAGAATTTAAACATGGGCAATCCTCATCCCACCTATTTCCCTTACAGTTTAAAGCAATTTATCTGTCTTATCAAGGAAAAAACAAAAAAAAAAAAAAGACTGTTGTGGCGATCTTTGTAATTTCAAGTTCGGGCTTACATTTTATTTTATTGGTCCAAAATGAAAAGAACATTAACTTTGTGGGTTTGGTTCAGCGTGACATATTCATGTGTACTGCAGTTGTGGACTTTCACAATTTAATGTTACGCTGTTGGATTTGGATGGGAACTGGATTCCGGAATTTCACAAGTGGATCAACCCATGGAGCCAGAAGCCTAGAAATCAAAGAACTAGGCCTAGCTCGTTCAAGATGCCAAGCTACGGAAGGCCCAACTTCCCAAGTTGTTCTCTGTAATTGGGTTTGCAATTTTTCATGGGCTTCAAATCAACCTTATCTGTTTCTTAAGTCCTTTTTACTAGGAAGGGCTGGGTCTCATCATCACACTTTTAATCTCTTTTTCTTGGCCTTATCTGTTTCAAATCAACCTTATATGTTCATAAAAATAATAAAATATAAAGATTAGTATGTATTAATATTAAATTTAAAAAATATTAATATTTTAATTTTAAATTTTAAATTTTAAATTAAAATATTAATATTTAATAAAATAAAATTTTAAATTTTAATTAAATAAAACAATAACTGTAAATTTTTAAAAAAAATAAATAATATGTATTTTTTCATTTCTTTCATAATTTTAATAACTTTAACATTTTTATTAATGCCCATTTTCTTGTGTTGTACCTATAATTTTAATGATTACAAAACACATTTGAGTGATTAATTTATTCATTTAAATATGTAGTTAAACTTCCAAAAGAGTGTAAAATATGTAAACTTGGATTACACTAAAAATATAACCAAAAAGGCTGAAAAATGTGTAGAGAGTCAACTTTAGAAATTTGCAATCGGCTTTGGTGAAGATAAGAGCTACAATCGGCTCTACGAGAGAAAAAGTCAAGACTACAGTTTGACTTGCATGGAAAACAGACACAAAACCAACTATATCTTTGCAATTGGTTGTGATGGTCAAGTTATTCAAAAAATATTTTAACCTTTTGAAGTTAGATTTCCTAAGTCGGCTTTACATTTTTTTAGTCGGTTCTTGAAAAAAACAGAATATGTAAGAGAGTCGTAAAGCCGACACTAGAATTCAAAGCTAGCTTTATAAAGCCGGCTTTGGAGGTAAAGCCGACTCTATTGACAATTTTGTAACTTGAACTTATTTGATTTGCAGAGCATTTAATGATCTTCAACGGCTAGAAATGACTATTTTTTACTAAAAGGTTATAAATATGGTTAGTAGTGAATCTGAAATAAGTTTTTGAGTATTATATTAAATATTTTTACCTACCAACTTGTGCTTTAACTTGAGTTTTTGATTTTTGAGTGATTTTTTCTTGTAATCCTCTTATTGTTCTACTTGTGTGTTATCTTGATGGTGTAGTTATTCATTCAAAAGTAATTTATAGAGAGAATTGTTGGGATTTATCTTGTAAAAGGGTAAAATTTGAAAGAAATATTATTTTTCTTGTAAAAAAATTGAATAGCTTATAGCTTATTTAAGTCATCCTTGTTTTTTTTAGTGAAAAATATTGAGGAAATTCTTAGTGAACGAAATCAAAGTAAAAATATTTTACCATTTTCTTAATCCAAACATATTTGTTTGGGCAGCTTCATAAGATCGCATATTATTGAGGTCTTGAACTATTTTAACATCTGAAATCTTGAGGAAGTATTTTTGGAGAAGATATATTTTGGCACTCAAATTAGTAATATTTAATTATTTATTAGAAAGAAACTCTTAAAATTAGATATTACAAAATAAAATGTAATAAAGTTATTACTTTATACGAGATAGACGAAGAGTATTTATAATGTTCAATTATGACAACAACGTCGCGTGTCATCATCTCATTGGCTCACATACCAGAGTGTATTGTAATTTTTGGGTTTTTTTTGTTGATATTAGGCTTATTTCCCAACAATACTATTAGAACACATATCAACTAATTATTACGTACCTGAACACCCAAAATCAGAAGATAATCTTGAAAATTTGGATGCGTGGCACGTTTTCTAACAGCTCTGACGCAAATTTTTTTGTCAAGCAGTTGTACTTATGCAAAGTGCTAAGAGGTCACTATGCCTGGATAAGGCAGGATTAGCACAGATGAGGGTCTAAGAAACCAACAATGTAAAATGACATGGAATCCTGTTTTCCGCATACAGTCGCGTGTAGTGTGTTGTGGAGCCAAATTCGCATTTCCTAGGAGAAAAACACATTGTTTCCTATGGGAATCGTGAAGTAGAGATTCTGTAAGCCATTGGAGCTCAAATTTGGATTTATCTATTTGAATGGGCCTTA